GTCCAGAACTGGACACAATACTCCAGATGTGGCCTCACCAAAGGCGAATAAAGGGGAATAATGACATCTCTGGATCTGCTGGCAATGCTCCTCCTAATTCACCCTAATATGCCATTAGCCTTCTTGGCTACAAGGGCACACTGTTGACTTATATCCAGCGTCTCATCCACTGTAATCCCCAGGTCCTTTTCTGCTGAACTGCTACTTAGCCATTCAGTCCCCAGCCTGTAACAATGCTTGGGATTCTTCCATCCCAAGTGCAGGACTCTGCACTTCTCCTTGTTGAACCTCATCAGATTTCCTTTGGCCCAATCCTCTAATCTGTCCAGGTCACTCTGGACCCTATCCTTGCCCTCCAGTGAATCTACCTTGCCCCCTAGCTTAGTGTCATCTGCAAACTTGCTGAGGATGCAATCCATCCCCTCATCCAGGTCATTAATAAAGGTGTTGAACAAAACTGGTCCAAGAACAGATCCTTGGGACACTCCACTAGAAACCGACCGCCAACCTGACTTTGAGCCATTTATCACTACCCGTTGGGCCTGACAGTCTAGCCAGCTTTCTATCCATCTTACAGTCCATTTATCCAATCCATACTCTCTTAACTTGCTGGCAAGAATATTGTGGGAGACTGTATCAAAAGCTTTGCTAAAGTCAAGGTATATCACATCCACTGACTTTCCCACATCCACAGAGCCAGTTACCTCATCATAGAAGCTAATCAGATTGGTCAGGCACGACTTGCCCTTCATGAATCCATGCTGACTATTCCTGATCACTTTCCCCTCTTCCAAGTGCTTCAAAATGGATTCCTTGAGGATCCCCTCCATGATCTTGGTGTGGGGAGGGGAGGGAAGTGATTGATGGGGTGTAGGTGTCCGGGCATGGGGGGGGGGACACTTACTTGTCTTTGCACCCCCCTCACAGCAAGGAAAGCCTCCTGACAGCATGCTGCCGCTCCCCCAGCAAGGTGGGAAGGGGGAGGGTACTCAGCCCCCCTCCTCCATGCTATGGGGATCCCAACGCAGCAGGGGGAGGGGCCCCTGACCTTCCATGCAGACCCGACTTACTGCCACTCCCCTAGACAGGGCGAGCTATCAGATTGATTTGACATGATGTGTTCTTTACAAATTCATGCTGGCTGTTACCTATCACCTTATTATCTTCCAGATGTTTGCAGATGAATTCCATAATTTTTGCTCCATTATCTTTCCTGGCACAGAAGTTAAGCTGACTTGTCTGTAGTTTCCTGGGTTGTTCTTATTTCCCTCTTTTTTTTAAGTGGGGAATTATAATTGCCCTTTTCTAGTCTTCTGGAATCTCACCCAACTACCATGACTTTTCAGGTACTACAGGACTACTCATTTTTAAAGTTACAGACTAAAACATGGCTACTCCCTGACACTCTTTAAATATACAAATGTCACTTTTCACAGCAGAGCTATCTAGCAAGTCTAAAAAACCCAGCAAAACCCCTTCCCCCACTGGAGTTTCTATTCTGTCTAGATCCAGTAAAGAATATATACAACTGTACATTATTAATATATACATATATGACAATGATTTGGACATGTTTATGTGCATAATTATTTGCTTCTTAACGTTAAGTATTATAATTATAGTTGTTGGTTACTCTCTGAGGCCATCCAAAAATTTGCTGAGAGAACTCCTGCATTAGACAATCCTTATATAAATACTCTTCAGTTATAATACTGATACTCTTCCAATCCAAATAATATATTTGCATGAATGCTAAGTACAATCAGGAGATATAAACCATATCCCATTAAACTTGTTCTGGTCAATTAAGTAGGGGATTTGGTATGAGTGACTCTGAATGGGATTCCAGGTGCTTTGCTGTTGGAGATTAGGGATATCAAGGGTTAACTGATAAGCATTAGCCTTACTGGCATGCTTACCCAGTAACTGGTTAACCAGCAGCTCCCCACCTGCCATACAGAGGGCCCTGCCCTGCTCAAATGGAGCAACCCCTTGGCTGCAGTGTGGTATGATGGGCCTGGCCTAAGCAGCCTCTCCGCCCATGGCATGACACTAGGGATGTAAAATCCCCTTTAATCAGTTAAATGTTACATTTAACCAGTTAAATGATTAAGCAGGATCCCATAGGCTAGAACAGCTCCCATCCATGTAGGGCTTCAGGTTAACCGGTTACCCATTCACATCCTTATGTGCAGAGCTCGCCAAACCATGTTTCTGTGACACCGTGGACCCGGCTGAGGTGGAGCAGCCACCACCACAGAATTCAAGCCCTTCAGAGTTAACAAGTTAAACCTATCATTTAACTGGTTAACTTTTTAAACAGGAATTTACATCCCTACTGGAGATGCATCTTTTGTACACAAGACAGAACTAAGCCTTTGACCAGCATAACTAAGTTCCTAGGGCACATTTTGTATAAAGATGGTAACTGCAGTCTCCTGGTCAACTAATAACTCAGGTAGTTGTCCTCTGGTTCCTAAATCCTCTCCTTGCACAGTCCCAATTTTTTTATATGTTCAAGGGCTAAGCGTAATTTGAACAAAATACTTCATTTTATCTATACTGGACAGGAGTGAGTATGGGATGGGCTTTCTGTTCTGCTAATTTGGCTGCTGTCAAAAAGGTGCATATTATTGATTTTGGAGGTGCTCAAAGGGAATGGGGAATCAGAAGGACACAGACACACCCGTATATAAGGGCTGCAGCATCTTATACGCATTTCCAAAGACAACACCTGCTCTGGCATCAAAACCCAGGTTCATCCCTTCTTTCCCCATCCCCAGAGCTACCTAACCATCTGCAGCCATCCCATAACCCTTCTTGCCCTGTACCCCCTTTACGTTAAGCCAGGGGCCTCTCTGGCACAAACCCCAAGTACAGCACAGTCCAAAGCTTTCACCGGTGCCCATATATTGCTGTTTCCCATGCACCTCCCATATACACACAATGACCCTCGTTTTCCTCCTCCTACCTCTGTCACCCGCCCTGCAAAGGCAGCTCAAAGGCCTCCCGGCATCCATTCCCCACCCCCAGTTCCCCCCGTGCACACCCAGAGCCCCACTGGGCCCTCTCCCGCCCCGTATCCCCTCCCCCCGCGACACAGTCTCTCACGGTCACATCACAGCCCGCCTCGGTACCCCACCCCCCAGAGCCTCATGCTGACCCCTGCGCTCGAATCCACTCGCCCGCATGATGCCCCCACCTCCGCCTCCCATGGGGCCTGCCCCTTGTTCGATAACCCCCCAGTGCGGGCCTCCATCTCCCCACGCACACTCAGCAGGGACTAAGCCCCCCCCCCCATCCATAGCCGCATCCCGCCCCTCAGCCCCACAGACCCAGGCTGGACCCCCGCCGTGCACCACGCCGACCCGCAACCAGACCAACCTCGCCGGAGACCGCGCCTCCCCTCACAGTGAACCACACAAAATGTCGGCTACACCAGCAAGGCCTAGTCCCACCCACTGGTCCACCCCGCTGTTCCCTCATTGGCCAGCTTGCCGAGTGGCCCGCGAGGCTATTCGGCAGCGCTACGTGTCAAACAAGGGGCGAGCCAAACAGAGCCCGAGGATCTAGAGTGGGGCTCCCGGGTGGGCGGGAGACTCACCAATCGCAACCGAGCTTTCCAAGGGCGACCCCTTCCCTCCACTTCGTCTCAGCCAATCATACTGCTGGAGATGTGGATGGCACCATTATTATCTTACGGAAGGGGGACAAGTGATAGGCAGCGCTACGTGTCAAACAAGGGGCGAGCCAAACAGAGCCCGAGGATCTAGAGTGGGGCTCCCGGGTGGGCGGGAGACTCACCAATCGCAACCGAGCTTTCCAAGGGCGACCCCTTCCCTCCACTTCGTCTCAGCCAATCATACTGCTGGAGATGTGGATGGCACCATTATTATCTTACGGAAGGGGGACAAGTGATACCATTGTTCTCGTATGCGTACGCTCTTCTGCGTGAAGGGATGGGAACTGTGTGTCCTATTGTGGCTCAGCATGGTGGGCAGCGGTGATAATGAATGGTCCATTGCGGGTCTCCATGGGGAGGAGAAAAAGGGGGAGCAGTGACAGTGGACTGGTCGTTCCCTTATACCTCTCCACGAGGGAGCAGTGCGAGTGGATTGCTTCTTTGTGCCTGTCCAAGGCGGAGGGTGGATTATTCCAATGCAGCTTTTTATAGAGGGAGCACAAATAATGGATCGTTCCTTTGTGCCTCTCCATGCGGGAAGCAATGAATAGAAGATTGTTCCATTTTGGGTCTGGATGGAGGGGTGCAGAAGTGCATTGAGCTGGACCTTAGAGAGATTCGTACCTGCTGCTTCCTCTCCCTTCCCCTGATCCACAGCTCCGGGGTTGGGGGGGGGGCACACACCTCACCCCACCTCCCTCCCTTCCCATGGGATGCCCCCAGCCAGCCACAGAGCAGTCTGGAGGGATCAGTTTTATTGGCAGAGGTGCCTTTGGTGTGTCCCCCCAAGCTGCCGTCAAATTTTCCATCCTAATACCCCTGGCACAGTCAGAAAGGTGCCATGGGAGCAGGTGGAAGAATAAGTACTGGTGCCCTTCCACATGCCACGCCAACAAGATGTGTGAAGGGTTATAAAGCATTCTGCATCTCCTTTGTTGCCATTAAATAATTGACCAACTTCCATGTCTGACCCTCAATCATCTCCCACAACTGCGAATATTTAAACTGATAAAATCAGAAAAAAAACGTTTAAAATAAACATTGATATTATCTCCAAAAATATTTTTAAAAAACAAACAACACCCACCTGCCAAGCCTACTTGTGAATGGCCAGTGGTGGCCATATATGACTCAGTGGTTGGAAGCTAGGCACACTCCAGATGGCAAAAGACTCCTCTGTTATTATTGTCATCAGTTACTTGTGTTGCAACAGTCCTGGGAGCCAGTTGCACTGGCACTGTCCTGACACCATGTGGCTGCATGTGTGATACTCCTGGCATTAACTGCAGCAGCCATGCCCAGGAAACCCCCAAAAAGTTACAGGAGCAGACACGCTCT